AGTAGGAGAAGAAGAAGAAGAGGAGGAAGGAGGAGGAGGAGGAGGAGGAGGAGGAGGAGGAGGAGGAGGAGGAGGAGGAGGAGAAGTAATGGAAGAAATAAACATGGAGGACGTAGTGGAAATAAATGATGAGACAGATGTCATCACAGTGACTGCGCTTCGCTTAGATGAGGTCCGGCCCAGAAGAAGGCTGACAGGCTTTTCCATTACAAATTCAATGGGTGGAATGGTAATGTTTGATGATTCAACACCCGAAAGCCTGTTCATTTCAGGTGTGGTTACTCCTTTTGAGGGATGCACATCAGAAAATTTACGGTTTCGGTGTGGGCCTTTTGGGCCCGTTCGATCATGGTGTATTACAGGCTTTCATGAAAAGTCCCTCTCTATTTGGGTCTCAACAGAATTGGCTGATTACCTATGTGTTAATGCCTGCAGAAAACTACTTCCATTACTATAGTTACTTCAAATTTAAGGCTTCACTCTGTCTTCGAACCTTTGAGGAACTCAGTTATGATACAGAGGTGAAATTTGGGAATCTTGTAACATCTCTGGCATTCACTATGCTAAACGATTGCCAATTTTCTGCTGACTATAACTCAATGTCGGAGTCAGTGAAGCCTCATATGGCTTTTGTGGCTGATCAGTTGGTTGCGCTTGATAAGAACTTCTCTGAGTTTAAGGTGATAAAAAAGATAAATGAGGTGTTCAAGGAGGATATGGAGAAGATCAGAATGCTTAGGCAAGTGAACATGCTGAGTGGAAGGAAATTTTCTGGATCGTTTTACTCGATCCAAGACTCCAATGAAGAGTTTAACAAGGAGGGCTCAAAAGATAATGATGGTGACAAAGCCATGAGAGAGGCCACTTCCTACCAAACCATTGTGGAGGAAGAGAATCATCGTCCTCCAAAGAAGCGATCTCTTCCTACAATTATCGAGACCCAGGAGAAGAATATAGAAACAGTAAAGCCGACAGCCATGGATGTTAGGAAAACAGAAGAGGAAATAGAGGTGGTTGATGATGAAGATATCGCAGTTAGCATGACTGGGACCACAGATACCAAGACTACTCAAGCCCAAAGAATGCTCAAGGGATTCGAGATATTGGACGTGGGAGAAGCAATGCAGCCCTTTGAAAAATTAGAATCTCATCGATTGTACATTACCTCTGAGATTTGGACAAGCTACAATTCGGAAGAACCTGATCTAGGGGTTCGGTGCAAGTCCTTTGGTCCAGCTGTATCTTGGTGCATTATAGGCTATGAGGAGGAGGCCCCTCAAATATGGGTGTCGACAGACTGCGCAGACTACCTTTGTCGAAAGCCAAGTGCAGATTACATGCCTTTCTTTAAACCTTTCTATGAGAAGGCAATGCTCTGCATCCGGGCCTTTCATGTCATCAATGCTTTTCCTGATTTGGATTTTGATGAGTTCTGTACGAAACTGGTTTTAGATATATTGCCATGTTTTGACACCTTCAAGGATGAAGAAACCACTAGGAACTATGTGAATTCCCACTTGGGTTTTGTAGCAGAGCAGCTTATTGGGCTTGATCGGATATTCTTCTCTGAAATACCATCAATAAAAAGCATTATACATAAGTTCAATGTGGATGTTGCAACATTGAATAGAATGGCATGCGGCTCATTTCACTCACTCAATGACAAGAATTGGTGGATCCAACAATGTCAATCAGAAGACGTGATCTTGGCAGAGACCTGGAAGATGCCAGAGATTAATGTGCCTGAGGTTTGGACTTCAGGGACTTCAAACTTTAGGTTCAAGCTATTGCAAGGTACGAAGAAAAAAGACGTGAAGAGAGAGAAGAAAAAGAAGCCACGGCCAACGTTGAAACCATATGAGGATTTGGCAAAGGAGGAAATGGGTTTTGCCGCAACCAAGCTTGTATACAATATTTGGATAGATTATCACTCAAAAAAGATGAGGCAAGAGGAGAGCATGGATATTGAGCATAGTAAACCAGGGACCATAGAACATGATAAAACAGAGGTTGGTACGGAGGTGACAACAGAAGAGGCCATGGAAGTGGAGCATGTAAAGCCAGAGTCTAGTATGGAGATTAGGCAAGAAGAGAGCGGGGAAGTGGAAACATGGTAAACCAGAGTCCACCATGGAGATTAGGCAAGAAGAAAGCATGGAAGTGGAGCATGATAAACCAGGGGGTGGTCCAAACACTTCTGAGAAAATGGTGACGTGGATCAAGGCACCTATCCATGATCCCGTGTCTGGTGATATGTTGTTTGGAGGAGCATCCCTCAATGGAGAAAGCTTGCTGGTTAAAGAGGTGGCATTGGTCGAAGAAAATGGGTGTGATGTTTTGGTCCTAGTGCAGTATATGTATCAGAGGTCTGATCAGTCCAAAATGGCCCATGGGAGAGTTTTAGAGAAAGGTTGTGACACTTTCTTAGGGAATGCCGCAAATCCAAAGGAAGTGTTCTTGAAAGAGAACTGCATAGATTTCATGCTAGAGAATGTGAAGAGAAAGGTAAAACTAGACTTGAGGTTGAATCCTTACAAAACGGATGAGTCTGCTGAATTTTTTTGTAGGAATGTTTATCTGAAGGAAAAAGGGGCCTTTTTAAGGATTCAGAAGAAAGAACTTGAGCAACGGATAGGGAAGTGTTCAGTTTGCAGAAAGATAGAGGCTTTGGTTCCTCAAAAGTTAGAGAGAGGAGAGTATGTGTATGTAAAGGCTATGTTTTTGGGGAAAGATGACATTAAAATAACACATGTGGTGTGTGAGGTTTTGAATGTTGATGAACGGTGGGTGGAAGTGAGAAGGTTTTACAGGCCTGAGGACATTTCTGCCGAGACTTCTTACGAGGCAGACCTTAGAGAAGTGCGTTGATATCTCACTCTCTCTCTGACACACACTATCTATCTAT